GTTCCCCTGGTCTCTGCATTGTCAGATCGGACGCCCGTGTGTACTGTTCCGCACGTCAAAAAATAGTCCCTTGGTTGTTGAAAATCGAAAAAAGTAGCCTAAGGGCGCTGCCCGGGCAAAATTTGGAGTTAAACATCTACCAAAAGTATTTTAGGATCCTCGACGGTGCTACGACCGAAGATGGGAAATTGGATAAAGAAATTGACATTAGATGCAGTAAAGCAAACCAAGTATTGGGACAGCTAGCTCCCCTCTTACAGCAAAAGACAATCCCAATCAGCACAAAAAGACATCTTATTCAAAACATATTTATTCCAACTCTGTGCTACCAGTGCCAGACATGGCCACTCACAACAAACCATAAAAGAAAATTAGTAACCACGGAAATGAGATGTCTGAGAAGGGCTGTAGGAGTGACCATAAGTGATAAGATCAGGAATGAGATCATAAGAGAACAAGTCGGCACATAACCAATTCTACGGAGTTCGTGCACTGCGCTGAGATTCTTCGGACTCAGGTTTGAGTCAGAAGTAGAACGGAGCACCTATGGGTTACTACCCTTGTGTCATGACGTTGATCCGTTGTTTAAGCCTAAAGAGTTATTGAGGTGGACTCATGGAAACAAACTGCCACAGACAGTGCTGCGCGGAGGGAGCACATCAGGAAGGGAATGAGAACGAAGGAAGAAGTTATTGCAGAAAAGATGAGAGCTGAGCGTCTGAGAAGGAGCAGACTAAATAAAACTGATGGGAACAACGTTTCTGAAATCCCATGCTATAAATGTGGAAGTCTTATTTTAACGCGCGCCGGTCTTGCTAGTAACACTCGTCTCCGTCATAGACTTTGAGTCCTACGCTTCCTAGTGGCACAATTTAACACTTTTGTATGGAAAGACAGAAAGTGGCCAACAACTATTTCTTACTGCGTATTGATAACATAATTAAACGACCCATTTTTGTTTTACGTCGTCGGTGTACTGTGTATATGATGCTAGACATATTGTGTACTTTAATGGCTGATGTGGTCTATATCACACTTACCACTTTTGCTTCCAGGGACATTCCTCGGTACCCATATTAGGCTGGGTCGACCTGTAAGCCAAGCTCAACGTCTTTTAAAACCGATTTTTTAAAACACTTAGAAGCCAGCTACCCCTCGACACACTTAAAAGATTTTTTAGTCTTAGAATTAGGCTTTCTTCGCGTTCTTCGGCTGTAAACTCCGGAAAGCTCTGGGTGTTCGTCTACCTCCGGACATTAGTCTTGCCCAAGAACCTGAGTATGGCGTGCACATCCGTTTCACAGATCTGGCTTACTAGTATGCAAACTTGTGCTCCCTTGCCTCTCAGACAAATGTACTCTGACTTGGAAGGATGTCCCTATTTAGTCGACTACAGTGACATGTGCTTATTGGGGAGGCAGTGGATCTATTCTTGTTTGTCCCTTAATGGGGGTCCCGAAACCCACAAGGAGAGTATATTTTATGATTTTTCATTTTGTTTCCTCCGTAAGTCGGCTCTGTGGCTAAGTCGATGCGAACGTTTCGCAATGCCGCGATGCCAGGTTCGATCCCAGCTGCGGGCCATGCGCCTTGCGTTGGTTTCGACAGTGGTATCAAGAAAGCCGACCGTCCAGTAAGCAATGACAAACTACTAGACGTAAATTTGCCCAGTAAAACCACACAACAGCCAGGAGCTGTTGGGGTTGGTTCTGCAACGTCCTGTAAAGAATACGCAACTAACCTTCCTCCGTAAGGCATACAGCCTAGTGTTGCATTGTTGTTCAGGGGGGTTAATATACTTCAACCAAGAAAATAAACGCTTATCTCCAAGGCTATTGAAAATGTGTGTGGTGCCTCCTTCCTGTGTGATGCCCTAAGCACGTGCTTAGTGTGTCTAATGGTTAATCCGGCCCTGACTACGGACCAGCTCACGCTGCGCTTAAACAACTGAAATCACTGCATGTTTGTTTCTTCTTCTTCTTTCTTCTTCGTGTTTGCCAGCTGTAGACTCGGGCGACAAATACAAATCCACTTTTAGACTCAGGTTTCGTTTCAGAACTTGAGTGTTGCATGCTCATCCGTTTTATAGATCTGATTTATTTGTATGCAGACTGTTGGTTCCTAGCCTCTCAGACAGAAGCGCTCCGACTTTTAAAAGAAACACTCCTAAATAGTCGACTTTTACGACATGCATTTCAGTGGAGCAGTGAGTCTATCCCCCCCCCCCCCGCTCCTTTTTTGTTTACAACGGGTCCCAGAACCCACTCAGGAAATGTTTGTTACAACAACAACAATAACAAAAATGTTATTTTTCTTTCTTAGTTCCTGTTGGGCTAGACGCCATCCTGTCCTTCTGTTTCCTTGTGTTCCGGTTACTGTATAAACACATTCACTTCCGGTGTAATCATCACGTAGTATCTGTCTGAAGCCACTGTTTGTGGTGGGTCTGGTAGTAGCGTGTGCAGTAGTACTGTAAGGACAAGTGATATGTATGGTAGCGCTGTACGTACAAGTCGTGTTTCTGGTAGTATTGTAAATGTGGGTTCCAGCAGTACTGTAAGTGTGGATTTTGTTAGTACTTTAACTGGTGGTTCTGGTAGTACTGTAAGTATGGGCGTTGGCACTGTACTAAAGTAAAACACACGAATAACCAGAAGGGGAAGTCTTGAGGCCGTTAAAAAAAAAAATGTTATAATAATATTTCTACGTCCTCCAGAGTTCCTCCTCATCAAAATTATGTGAATTACGTGAAAAAAAAATGGAACTGACCAATCAAGCCTCTTTCTTAAATGTTTGTTGTATTCTAGACACAGCGTTACGGTCCGATATGTTTGTAATTGTTGATGTGCTTGTTATTAGAGCTGTGATTGGTTAATATAAATTTATGCAACATGTGCTGTCATTTCAATGGTTTGAGATTCTGTCCCTATTCCATAATTGCGGATTTCAAGTTGTACGACCGACATGGCCAATGAAGACACCTTTTAAAGGTACCCAGCTGGTCATGTTCTTAGTATACTTGTTTCCATAGCGAGGTGCACATGTCATTTGGAGGTGACAGGTTTGATTACCGGCAGGGTAACTAGCTTTCGGTTTTTATGTTGCCTAGTGGGTCATTCTTTCTTTCTACTTCTTTCTTTGAGTGCCGATTAATACATTGTCTGTTTATTAGAGATAAAATAAATGAGGAGCTTGGCAGCCGACAGGGCACCACAACGAGCAATGTTATACAGATACAGTGGTAACAGAACCAGAGGTCGACCACGCAGAACATGGACTTCAGAAATATGAAAGACACTGAAAAGTACTTTATACGAAGTGAACTAAGACCTAGAGATCTCTTCCTGCCCTGACGCCGCGAGGTTTTCCAGAAGTAGAGAAAAGAAGAAGAAGAAGAAGAAGAAGAAGAAGAAGAAGAAGAAGAAGAAGAAGAAGAAGAAGAATTATGTCACTGTCTCATCGACTTGACCATTTTTACTTTCCCATCGACTGGACCATTTTTACTGTCTCATCGACTTGACCATTTGTACTGTCTCATCGACTTGACCATTTTTACTGTCCCATCGACTGGACCATTTTTACTGTCCCATCGACTGGATCATTTTTACTGTCCCATCGACTGGACCATTTTTACTGTCCCATCGACTAGACCATTTTTACTGTCCCATCGACTGGACCATTTTTACTGTCCCATCGACTTGACCATTTTTACTGTCCCATCGACTTGACCATTTTTACTGTCCCATCGACTTGACCATTTGTACTGTCCCATCGACTTGACCATTTTTCTAATCGATGAGTTATGAGTTAGCTTAAACCACTTTCACCTCTTTCCAGGAGCGCCGTAAAGTGGACGCCATGAGCTACCCTCACTTACCCAACTGCTTGTTTGTTCGTTAGGGGATGCTCTCTCATACACCCCCTAGAAAACTGAGAGCCCTATCCTGATTCCCCTCCCTTAAATAATATGTGAAGTTGTTTTTTAAGTTAGGTAATCGTTCCTACATTATCATCATCATTATCATCATTATCATCATCATTATCATCATTATCATCAATTTCCACTTCTGCCGTTAAGCATTGTATGGAGGAGCAGTAAACAATCCCTTGCTTGATGAGCAGCAGTTGATATTTGCATTCCGTGTCGATGTAGAAACTCTTTAATGTCATCTATCCATGTTCTCCTAGGGCGGCCTCTTGCTTTCACTACAGATCTTGTCATCTGTAGTGCCTGTGTTGGTAATTGTTCTGGCCTCATTCTTACTAAATGACCAAACCATTTGATCTTCTGTTTCTCAATGAATTTGCTGCATAGTGATGTTCCTACAGCCTGTCTGATAATATCATTTATAACTTTGTCTCGGATGGTTAAGTTGGCTGCATTTCTCAGGCATCTCATTTCAAATATCTTAATTTTACGCAGGTTAGCCTTTGATAATGTCCAAGTCTAGAACTGGTAGCACAATGTTGACTTTTTTTTTTTTTTTTTTACATTACCCAAAAAGTAAATAAATAAATAAAAATATATAGATATATTTGCCGTTGTTCACATTATTTTACGCTGTAGCGACTTTATGCTCGCCTGCGGATCCCGAGGACGTGGGTTCATAACCTGACGAAGCGGACCTTTAAAAAGATGACAATGGCTCCCATGCCCCCCCCCCCCCCCCCCAGTTACCAGGTAAATTCTTCTAAAGGCGACCGGCGGGATGTTAATCACAACACCCACCAAGAGCTAATGGGTCTAAAAATATAGTTCTAGACCTTATGCCCACTGTGCCTGACGCCGTGGAAAAGGGTCTTTATATTATTATTATATGCAGTTAAACAAGGTTAAGGATTCTGAAACCTAGTTACAAAATTTGTAACATGCTTGCTTGGGGAGCGAATGAAAAAAAAAAAGAGCACCACATGTTTCTACAACGGGACTTACCATGGACCGTATGGAACAAAAGCACAAAAGGCGCGGCTGAACAGGTTTTCTCAGAGGGGGCGTTTCCATGGTAAATGTGTCAGGCGTGGCAACAACAGAAGATCTAACTTTGTCATTCTGTACAAACAACAGGATTCAGCAATGTTGAACTTTGGAAGACTTTGAGATGAGGCTGTGACAGGTCTAGCATACCAGTAGTAGATCTAAATATCTGTCTATCTGTCTATTCTATATATCTATCTAAAATATCTATCTAATCTATCTATCTATCTATCTATCTATCTATCTATCTATCTATCTATCTATCTATCTATCTATCTATCTATCTATCTATCTATCTATCTATCTATCTATCTATCTGTCTATCTGGCTGTCTGTCTGTCTGTCTGTCTGTCTGTCTGTCTGTCTGTCTGTCTGTCTGTCTGTCTGTCTGTCCTGTCTGTCTGTCTGTCTGTCTGTCTGTCTGTCTGTCTGTCTGTCTGTCTGTCTGTCTGTCTGTCTGTCTGTCTGTCTGTCTGTCTGTCTGTCTGTCCTGCCTGCCTGCCTGCCTGCCTGCCTGCCTGCCTGCCTGCCTGCCTGCCTGCCTGCCTGCCTGCCTGCCTGCCTGCCTGCCTGCCTGCCTGCCTGCCTGCCTGCCTGCCTGCCTGCCTGCCTGCCTGCCTGCCTGCCTGCCTGCCTGCCTGTCGGTCAGTCGGTCGCTCTCTCGCTTGCTCAGCCTGTTTGTCTTTATATGTGTATGTGTGTTAACTTCAACTAATGCTCTTATAAGAAAGAAAGAAAGAAAGAAAGAAAGAAAGAAAGAAAGAAAGAAAGAAAGAAAGAAAGAAAGAAAGAAAGAAAGAAAGAAAGAAAGAAAGAAAGAAAGAAAGAAAGAAAGAAAGAAAGAAAGAAAGAAAGAAAGAAAGAAAGAAAGAAACGGTACACATGATTAGTCTAAACAAGTTCTCTCCCTTCCTCTCTACTTTCAGTTCCCGCGAGACTGTCTAGATTCTCGCTACTCAACGCTCTACGCTCGGGAACCTACGTGGTCAGCGAGAGCAAGACCATGTCTGATGTGGAAGCTGACAAAGAGATGGCCAACGAAGCAGAGGACGAGCAGAAAGCCATTATGGACGACACCAACCGAGAGGTTACCTTGACCAAACTGGACCCAGTGACGTCAGAGCTGCAGTCCCAGGTCGGCTCTAGCAAGAAGAAGCATTCGGTGCACAGGTAGGTTTGTTCTTCTAATAATAAAAACTATGGCTATTGTTATAATGAGCATTCAGGACACGAGAAAAACACTGGCTAGGTCCAGCCTCCTCACCCCCCCCCACCCCCCCTTCCCCCACCGATCCCCACCCACTTAACCTAATACGTCGATTTTTTTTGTGTGTGTGTGGCTAAAAATGAGGTTGTGGCTGAGGTTCATTTTAATTATTCAGAAAATATTGGGGAGTGGGACTAAGTAACCCCCCCCCCACCCACCCCCTCACCCGCGCCCTCCACACCACCAAAGCACACACACACACACACACACATATAATAGGTGAGGGCTCAGAATCCCCCACCCCCCCCCCCACCCCCTCAGGCCCATGCAAACTTTATAGCAGCTCCCCCACGATACCCATACCCCCTCCCCCTCCTCCCCCCCCCCTACGATACTCCTCTCCCTGATGCCTAGCAGACTTTTTCAGCAAAAGAGGCGGGAAGGAGCTGGTTGGACCTAATCCTTTCTTAGCAGCACAATAATAATAATAATAATAATATTCATAATAATAACAAAAATAATGTACATTGTGGTATATAAATTTAATAATATACTTGAAATAATATGCAATAGATAAACACTTTCAAACAGAATTTCTGTGCGTCGTCAAAGTTGCCTGCTGGACTCCTTTAAAAAAAATGAGGTCGGGAGAAGGTGCAAGAAGAAGAAGTAGAAAAAGAAGAAGAAGAAGAAGAAGAAGAAGAAGAAGAAGAAGAAGAAGAAGAAGAAGAAGAAGAAGAAGAAGAAGAAGAAGAAGATCAGACAGACGGAGGCCTAATGTTTCTGACACATTCCTGTACTGCTAGAGAGCAATGCAGCGCGGAAGGCGGGTTAGAGGAGGCCAGCCCGCCATGTTTGAAAAACATGATAGTGCTCGGGTCATCAGAACAAATCTGCACATGTGCCATCACTCAGGAAATTATTATCTCCGTGAACTATGCTCCCCGTCTCCTCCCTCTTGCTGGTCTCTTCCTCTCCCACTACCTTCTGAGCATCGGCGCCGCAATCCTGGGGCTTAGTTAACTTGACACCTCCACCCCATTTGTTCAACGGAGTTGGGGTGGGAAAGAGTGAAGCTGGAACTTCTCCCCCCCCCCCCCCCAAACCCCGCACGGCAGAAAATTTCGAAGGGAGCTAAGTGGTCGCCATTGATGTGTATGTAGATAGGGTGACCTTCAGTTTTCGTTGGGACAGTATCGTGTTTTTAGGTAGGTCTAGACCCTCCCGTCGATATTTAAAAACAATTACTTGGCGTTTTCTGAGTATCGACGGGACGGTTTGGGCCTAACTAGAATAACATAAAAATTGAAGTCATCTTATCTCTTTACTGAGTATTTGTTTGTATATTTTATAGTAGACTGCAAATACGGTATATAATTAAATCTAATTCAACATAGTTAGTTGCGTATCCCTTACATGACGTTGCAGAACCCACCCCAGCATTTTTTGGGCTGTTGTGGTTTTTCTAGGCAATTTTACGTTCAGTAGTTTGCCTTAGCTAAACGGTCAGCTCTCGGTACTGCTGTCGAAGATAACGCAAGACAAATTATCCGCAGCAAGGATCGAACCCGGCACCCTGGCATTACGAAGCGCGTTCCCAACGCCTAAGCCACAGACGCCGACAATCAACATCGTACACAAATAATATTAACAACTTACAATTATTATTATTCTGCACTTAAACAAGACCTAAACCCATTGAGTCTCCCCACTCTCAGTGATTTTTCTTTGTGTCGGCGCCCTCTTTTTTCTCCGGCCTCTTATTAACATGGAGATAAGCACTATTTCTACCCCGCCATCCCCTCTCGTCTTACTCCACCTTCTCAAGGAAGGTAACTGCTCATCTCATGTACCCAGAGAAGGAAGGTTGAGTTTACCGGTCTTACATGGCATTCAGGAATCTGGCATCGAGTTAAGCAAGTGTAACCCGGAGATACGTTATCTCCGCTGCCATGGAAACGCTCGTATATTATTAATGGAAGATTCGGGAGGCAAGTACCGCTTTTGGACAGTTTTAACCAGTTTTGAGTGGGTTACCATCTTCACTTAAACTGGGAGACACCGTCTGTCTAGTTTGTTAGCTTTCGTCATAAGTTGGAATTGGTGCACTCTCGACTTGAGTGAATAAAACATAAAACAACTCAAGGGAATGACGAGAATGCGTAGAAGAAAGGACAAGAAAGCAATAACGAATGACAGAGAAAATAAAGTATCTGATGAAGAAGACGAAGAAGGGCAAGGACGAGGCGGATGAGACAGACGTTGGACTGATTATCTGATGGTATTCTGTTGGATTTTCTTCCGAATACAGGTTCTTTGAGTCGATCAGTCTTTCAGGCTGGAACCAAAGAGTGGAACAAATTTATAATAATGTTTTTAAAAGAGAGAAAGTCCAGAGAAAGAATAAAAACAAAAGGAAGAAGAAGAAGAAAAAACAGAAAAAAGAAGAAGAAAAAGAAGAAGAAGAAGAAGATAAAGAAGAAGAAACAGACTAAGAAGAAGATGATGATGAAGAAGAAGAAGAAGAAGAAGAAGAACAAGAAGAAGAAGAACAAGAACAAGAAGAAAAAGAAGAATAAGAGGGGGAGGGTTATGATCAGAAGAAAAAGAAGGAGGAAGAGGAGATGTCTTGAGGAAGACGAAGAAGAAGAAGAAGAAGAAGAAGAAGAAGAAGAAGAAGAAGAAGAAGAAGAAGAAGAAAAAGAAAAAGAAGAAGAAGACGAAGAAAAAGAAGAAGAAAAAAAGAAATAGAAGACAAAGAAGAAGAATAGGATGAAGAAGAAGAAGAAGTAGTAGTAGTAGTAGTAGTAGTAGTAGTAGTAGTAGTAGTAGTAGTAGTAGTAGTAGTAGTAGTAGTAGTAGTAGTAGTAGTAGTAGTAGTAGTAGTAGTAGTAGTAGTAGTAGTAGTAGTAGTAGTAGTAGTAGTAGTAGTAGTAGAAGAAGCAGAAGAAGAAGAAGAAGAAGAAGAAGAAGAAGAAGAAGAAGAAGAAGAAGAAGAAGAAGAAGAAGAAGAAGAAGAAGAAGAAGAAGAAGAAGAAGAAGAAGAAGAAGAAGAAGAAGAAGAAGAAGAAGAAGAAGAAGAAGAAGAAGAAGAAGAAGAAGAAGAAGAAGAAGAAGAAGAAGAAGAAGAAGAAGAAGAAGAAGAAGAAGAAGAAGAAGAAGAAGAAGCAGAAGAAGAAGAAGAAGAAGAAGAAGAAGAAGAAGAAGAAGAAGAAGAAGAAGAAGAAGAAGAAGAAGAAGAAGAAGAAGCAGAAGAAGAAGAAGAAGAAGAAGAAGAAGAAAAGAATGTGCTGAATTAAAAGTGAAAAAAGGGGGGTGGGAAGAAAGGAAGGTGTAAAGCTGGAGACGACGATTTCATGATGATAACGAAGGATGGTTAAGATGACTGTGACAACGACTACAGTGTGGATTATTTATATTCAGGTATACAATTGTCAGTACGTGTGTCGTCGGTACACTGGAACAATCTCAGCAGTTGCTGGTATTTACTAGATAATTAGTTAATGAGGCGGTACAATTGCCGCCAAGCTGTAAACATATTGTTTTATCTGGAGAAAAACAAACAAAAATAACACCGAAAACAAACAAGAACATTATAAATATTTTGAAAAGACAACCCACCCCCAACAAATCAAAGAGGTAGCTAACACATTTGCTCATTTCACCTCATCTCATCTTGAGCCTCAAGATGCAGAATACATTACGGGAAAGAGCCCGTGTGTGTACTTCGTAAACTGGGATTCCCAGGGCCTCTGTTATTCCCTCTGCCCTTTCCGCCTGATCTGTACATCATTGCTTGTTGTGGTATACTGTCTGTTAACATTCGCGTTATATTGCCAAACCATTTCAATTGTCTTCTAATGAATTTCAGAGCTTCTGCTACCCGTATTTTCCTTCGGATTTCATCAGGTCTGATCGTTTCTCTTCTCGTTATATTGAGGGCTCTTCCCATGAATCTCTTTTCAGTTGTAATGTCTCTTTATAATTTTTTCCCCTCTCATCGTCTAGGTCTAGCATTGGCAGCACAGGGTTGACAAGAAGATTGTGTCATAGAGTGTTCTTTTGGTTTCTATTGATACATATTTGTTTCTTAGTATTGGCGCAATTTGCCTAATGGGTTGGTTTGTTTCGTTACATCTATGATCGATCTCATCTTCTGTTTTGCCAGCTGATGATATTAAGCTTCCTAAGTATTTGAAGTTTTTGGTTTGTTTCGGAGAGAGTTCTGTAAGCTGGGTATTTATTGTTTTGTCTCATTTGGCTATGATCATGGCTTCTGTTTTGTTGGCCTTAATTTTCATGTTATGCTCTTTGCAAATTTAGTTTTAGTAATTTATATGGTCTTGCAGTTCAGTTTGTGGAGTAGAAGTTAATGTTTGGCCGCCCGCAAATAGTATTTCTTTACACCTTTGCTCACATTATGAAAAATAAAAGCAAAGAACATGTAACAACTGGTACGGTGAAGGCATACTAAGGTAATGGAAGAGCAGCGAACCAGTGTTCTTAATAACGGCCTTCTTTTTCGTCATATAATCCGTGTTACGTGGTGTTAGTAATCAAATTTATCTCCATACATCGCTTACATTTTTCATTACTGAGAACTGGATGTCTCGTTAATTCGACGTACATCAGAAACGTATCGGACATACACATAAACGTTTCAAACGTTGTTGGACATAATCTTTCAAGTGTCTGAAAATTGTACAGCTAATGAGTGCATGTGTCTAGTTTTGATATGGTGTAGTCAGGGTTTTTATTGTGTGCCTGTTTGAGCAGGTATGTCAGTGTGACATTTTTAATAAATTGTTACTGTCGTTAACAGACATAAGAGGGAGGGTGTTGAAACAGAGGCGTTATAGACAAGGTGTTTGTGTGTGTGTGCTCCCGCGCGCGCGTGTGTGTGTGTGAAAGAGAGAGAAACAGCGAGAGTATGAGAGATAGAGAGAGAGGAGAGATACAGAGAGGACGAGCAACGAACTTTTTTTTTCAAATAGTCACAAATTGGGCACGCAGGCTGTCTTACATTCGTCTCTTCCAAACATTCATCCTTCACACATCAATTCAGTTCTCTTAATTAATCAGTTTCTTCTATGACATCTTTATTATTCTTTTAATCTATCCAGGGTATTCTCAACACTCGTCTGAAAAACCACATTTCGCAGCTTCCAAATATTTATTCACTAATCGACCAACTTGTCTATGATTCACTTCAGTAAATCAAGATAAGATTTATATAGCTTTTAAGAATCCTCTTTCTCATCTCAGCTGAAAAATTGCAAAAAATTTCTCATTTTGTAAAAGACTGTCGTTGCTTGAGCTATTATACATTTAACTTCTTTAATAACATATTCTTCATTTGCTGTTTTAGGGTATTCAAGTACTTAAATGTACCAGCTAGCTTGAGGATTGTGTGTAGTTTACCATGCTGTTGCAATTTAGAGGGTCCACTTTCTTTGTAATTACTATTACTTCTGCTTTTTTACTGTTTAGACTATGACCATTGTTTTGACTTTCTCTTCAGTTATTTCCATCATTTTTTGCAGTTGTGTTTCATTTTCATCCTTCAACGCTACATCGTCGGCAAATCGTAGTTTGTTCACATTACGCACATCAATTCGACGCTCAGTCTGTCGAAATCAGACAAAGTGGTCTGCTGCCAAATTTTCAGCAGCTAAATTGAACCCTATTTGTCGGAATTATAATCCCTAAGACAGAGACAACGACCGCCAGGTTAACCCGTATGTATGAAACACAACAGGGAATTTTTGACGTGAAAACAATAACTTTGTTATCCATTGAAAGGAATGAGATGGTGCTGTTAAGTTGAGTTGAGTCAAGAATTGACATCACAGTACACGGGACATTCCCATGCGTGCTCCGTCCTTATCTTCAGCAGCCAGCGCAGAGTTCCAATACTGATGGTACCGGTCACAATCTGGTTATATGTCCGTCTTGCCTTTCCTCTGAGTGTAGTGAGTCGGTCAGACCCTCTGGTTACACCCAGAGGGTAATACTTCTACCTGAGAAGCAAGGAACCAACTGTCTGTACACAAGTAAGTCAGATCTATATAACTGCACTTGGTGGAATACTGATGCATAAGGCAGACGTTGTTGGGGCTTTATGGCACCACGTGTACAATTTGGAACAGCCAATTGATCATCGGAGTCTGGTGAGACTTATGTAGCGAGCAGTGACGAAGGGATCTGACCGATACTCAACGCTCAGAGGAAAGGCAAGACGGACATATAATCAGACTGCTTCTGGCACAACTGGTAATGAACTCTGCGTTGGCTGCTGAAGATAGGGACAGAGCGCTTATGGGAATGCCCTAAGTGCTTTGATGTCGGTTGTTGAATCAGCTCCGCTCGACTCTCTATAAGGCTGTAGGTTCGTCACCCAAGTCATGGAAGAAGGCAAAAGTCCAGAAGTGGAGGAACTTGAGGGACTTTCCGCCTTGGTTTTCAACCGCTGAACGTGAAGAAGATGGTCATCCATTTTATAACATAAATGCTTTACCATATCGTAAAACCTGATTAGACGGGAATCATAATCAGTTTTCTGAAAATATCTCTCGTTTCCCAAGGAGATTACCGAGTTCACAGGTCACATCACAGCCCTTCATTTCTGGCGAGTTTATCGGTCAGGATCAGGACAGATTCTAGACGCTGCGATGACCTATATATCTACCTAGATATCCAGATAGTGTCCTTTTCTTTTTGTTCACTTTATCTCGGGGACTCCGAGAATTTGTTCTCAGTTCCCGATAAAGTTCAATATAATAGTGGTGTTAATATAACAGAGGTGTTAGGGTGTGAAATTAACACAGACTAACACTAATCCTAACCCTAACACAGACTAACACTAATCCTAACCCTAACACAGACTAACACTAATCCTAACCCTAACACAGACTAACACTAATCCTAACCCTAACACAGACTAACACTAATCCTAACCCTAACACAGACTAACACTAATCCTAACCCTAACACAGACTAACACTAATCCTAACCCTAACACAGACTAACACTAATCCTAACCCTAACACAGACTAACACTAATCCTAACCCTAACACAGACTAACACTAATCCTAACCCTAACACAGACTAACACTAATCCTAACCCTAACAGCACTATAATACTGGACTTTCCCAGGAACTGTCCAAGAAACCTTGGAGTCCCCGAGATGGGGTGAACAAAAAGAGAAGTCCCCAGATAGTCTTAAAAGAAAATAATTGTCAGAGAGTTAAGACAGGTGTGCAATCTACAGTCAAACAAACGACCACTGACGGTTGCCTACTGCTTTCGCTTTCCAGCACCGTCCACCCTCTTTGTTGTTGCCTGCCACCCTGATAGTCACTGATATAATTTCATTCATGGCAGAGATTATATGTTCAACGCTGTATCGAAGTAGACTTTAAAAACTGGCGCAAAACCAGGGTCAAACCAGTATAGCACGACGTGAAACCAGTATAGTCATGGTGTGAAATTAGTATAGCCAGGACGCGAAACCAGTGTGTTCTTAAAATGAAACCAGACAAATCACGGCATAAAGCCAGTAAAACTATGGCACGAAATCAGTTAATAATGGCATGAACCCAGTAAAACCTTGATTACAATGCCCGACTGAACAGAGTCTCCACTGATTCCCTTTCCAGATCCGCCCTGACCAAGTTACTCTGCAGCCTGTACGCCTTGCTCCTGGTCGTGTTCGGAATCGTGTTTGCCGTAGCGAGCTCTCTCACACTAAAGGAACGCCAGCATCTCTATTACCTGGAGGTAAGAATTATTTTTTTTTCTTCTTCTTCTTCTTCTTCTTCTTCTTCTTCTTCTTCTTCTTCTTCTTCTTCTTCTTCTTCTTCTTCTTCTTCTTCTTCTTCTTCTTCTTCTTTTTCTTCTTCTTCTTCTTTTTCTTCTAATTCTTCTTTTTCCTCTTCTTCTTCTTCTTTCTCTTCTTCTTCTTCTTCTTCTTCTTCTTCTTCTTCTTCTTCTTCTTCTTCTTCTTCTTCTTCTTCTTCTTCTTCTTCTTCTTCTTCTTCTTCTTCTTCTTCTATTTCTTCTTCCTCTTCTTCTTTCTCCTCTTCTTCTTCTTTTTTTTTTTTTTTTTTTTTTCTTCTTTCAGTACATTATTAAGTAGTTAACTTTGACAACATACTTGTTAAGGAAAACATAGTTCAGGCAAGTTAAAAGCAAGGCGTATAAGGGTTTAAAAAAAACCGACTGTCAAATGCAGTGCAATTCCAGTATTCCTCATTAATCCATTTCTGAGCATTAATAAAAATGGTATCTATTAGGGCTGTACCGAGTAGTGATTTTTACTATTCGGCCGAATACAAATAGCTGGACCAACTATTCGGCCGAATACGAATACGAATAGTGAATCATCATCATCATCAGGTGCTTTGCCGACTATTATGGGCGATTATGCCTCGCCACAATCTGCGATCTCCTGCAGCATGTATTAGTTAGTATGCTGACATACCTCCATGCCATGCAACAAGACTGTCAAGAATCTTCCCTTCCTCTAACCCTCCTTCCACAGATCTTTCCAGTGGTCACCACACGTTTCATTTTTCCTAATCTTATAACATGGTTGAAAAATGATGACTGTCTCCTTCTGATGTCTGTCCAGCTATTTGTGGGTGTATGTATTCATGTAAGTGTAAATGTGTGGTTTTGGGCATATGTTGGTGTCTGTACATGTAATGGTATGTGTGTGTATGCATGGGTGCATGTATAGATGTGTATATATGGAATGCGTGTGTGCATGTATATCCATAAATGTATGTGTGTGCGTTTTCTGTTTGTGCATTTATTTCTGTGTATGTGTATGCTTGTATATGTATGTAGATGCAGGTGTGTATGTATCACGTATGTCTGTATATGAGTTCACCTGTATGAAAATGTAGATGTATGTATACGTGTGTGTGAGTGTGTATGATGGCGTACACACGATGTGTGTATGCATTATATATTTCTTTTTAAATCCATAACATGCATTATTGATAACAGGTATTAGTACTCTGAAAAATGAGTACTTAGAAGGGCCGAATGTCAGACGGGCCTGCGTGCCCAATTTGTAACCCTTTGAAAATAAAGTTTGTTCGTTCGTTCGTTCGTCTGTGAGGAGTTGTCTTCGGGATCCCGCCTCTATCAAAACTTCTTGGTTGCTTTTTTTTTTTTTTTCTGTCCAGGGTATATTAAGCATTGTTCTGTAATACCACATCTCTGAGCACCGCTCGCCTCGGTTCGATGTTCGTTCACTAGTCATCTTGTAGTGAGCACTGCCCGACCCAGTTCATTGCTTGTTTACCAACCTTCTTGTTGTAAGCACCGCTCGCCCCAGTTCGATGTTCGTTCACTAGTCTTCTTGTAGTGAGCACTGCTCGCCCCAGTTCGATGTTCGTTCACTAGTCTTCTTGTAGTAAGCACCGCTCGCCCCAGTTTGATGTCCATTCATCAGTCTTCATGTAGTAAGCACTGCTCGCTCCAGTGTATTGCTGGTTCACTAGTCTTCTTGTAGTAAACACTGCCGGCCCTAGTTCGATGTAGGTTCACCAGTCTTCTTGTTGTGAGCTCTGCTTGCCCCAGTTCATTGCCTGTAAACCAGTCTTCTTGTAGTGAGCACTGAACGCCCCAGTTCGATGTTCGTTTACTAGTCTTCTCGTAGTGAGCACTGCTCGCCCTAGTTCGATGTTCGTTCACCAGTCTTCTTGTAGTGAGCACTGCTCGACCCAGTTCATTTGCTGGTTTACCAGCCTTTTTGTAGTAAGCACTGCTCGCCCCAGTTCGATGTTCGTTCACCAGTCTTCTTGTAGTAAGCACTGCACGACCCAGTTCATTTGCTGGTTTACCAGGCTTCTTGTAGTAAGCACCGCTCGCCCCAGTTCGATGTTCGTTCACTATGCAGGATATTTTAAGCATTGTTTTGTAATACCACATCTCAGAGGTTTCAATAAATTGTTTGGCCTGCCTACCGATTGTCCAGGACTTACAGCCATAATTTAACACTGGATGTATGTAGCAAGCAAGAATTCTTTTTCTAACCTACAATGACAAAGATATATTACATAATATGTTCTTCATTTTATAAAATGCAGTTTTTGCCTGTCCTATTCTGTTTCTTATTCCAGTAATGCATCTTCCATCTGACGTTATCCATGTGCCCAGATACTTAAATTTCCGTACTTGTCCCAAAATAAAACCATTGACTTTTATTACACATTTTCATGTTTTGCATTCTTCAGTCAGTCAGTCTGTGGTAACCAATACATAGGAGTGAAAGTATTCTTAGTTTTATAACAAGTAACTAAACTTGTAAATTGTCACTGACAGCTTAGTTAATCCATGAAAGCGGTATTAGCTTTCATGTTGTCAGCTTCTCGTCTCACTGAAGGTATTTCCAGATATCCTAAACAGACGTTCACTTGGTACGCTCGTAGGTAGTGCACAAAGATAACGCTTGACATTATGAACCAAGGTGGGAAATCTTGATATGTTTATTTTCAACCAGTCCAGAAACATTTGTAAGGTAACCACTATTCGTATTCGACCCGACCGCAACTATTCAGCCGAATACCGAATAGTTATTAGCTCCACTATTCGGCTCCGAAGCAAAAATGAAGCGAATTTTCGGTACAGCCCTAGTATCTATATCAATTAATTATGAATGGTCTAATCTAGTGACCCTCAACCTTCCTAATCCCGCGCCCCTTTAATACAGTTCCCTCGTGTTGTGACGACCCTTTAATACAGTTCCCTCGTGTTGTGGCGACCCTTTAATACATTTCCCTCGTGTTGTGGCGACCCTTTAATACAGTTCCCTCGTGTTGTGGCGACCCTTTAGTACAGTTCCTCGTGTTGTGGCGACCCTTTAATACAGTTACCTCGTGTTGTGGCGACCCTTTAATACAGTTCCCTCGTGTTGTGGCGACCCTTTAATACAGTTTCCTCGTGTTGTGGCGACCCTTTAATACAGTTCCCTCGTGTTGTGGCGACCCTTTAATACAGTTTCCTCGTTTTATGGCGACCATTTAATACAGTTCCCTCGTGTTGTGGCGACCCTTTAATACAGTTCCCTCGTGTTGTCGCGACCCTTTAATACAGTTCCCTCGTGTTGTGGCGACCCTTTTATACAGTTCCCTCGTGTTGTGGCGACCCTTTAATACAGTTACCTCGTGTTGTGGCGACCCTTTAATACAGTTCCCTTGTGTTGTGGCGACCCTTTAATTCAGTTCCCTCGTGTTGTGGCGACCCTTTAATTCAGTTCCCTCGTGTTGTAGCGACCCTTTAATACAGTTCCCTGTGTTGTAGCGACCCTTTAATACAGTTCCCTCATGTTGTGGCGACCCTTTAATACAGTTCCCTCGTGTTGTGGCGACCCTTTAATACAGTTCCCTCGTGTTGTGGTGACCCTTTAATAAAGTTCCCTCGTGTTGTGGCGACCCTTTAATACAGTTCCCTCATGTTGTGGCGACCCTTTAATACAGTTCCCTCGTGTTGTGGCAATCCTTTAATACAGTTCCCTCCTGTTGTAGCGACCCTTTAATACAGTTTCCTTATGTTGTGGCCAACCCCTTCCCCCCCCCCCCCTAATTTTTTTCAACGTCAATGAATATGCGTTTTACAATGGTCTTAGGCGACCCCTGTGAAATGGTCGTGCGACCCAAAAAAGGGTCGCGAACGGCAGGTTGAGTACCGCTGGTTCACTCCTTTCCCAGCCTCGAACGTTATCTATCTATTCTTTTAAAAAACCACTCGGAAATCATTACAACTACAATTTAATTACATATAAACACTGCACTTAACTGACTAATTTACTCGACATGATGACATAAATATATTGTAGGCTTCTGTTAAAAAAAAATTTAATGAAAGGTACCTTTTGGGTGCTGGACAAGGGGGCGGGGGGAGGATAGCTATTGTTTGGAAGAGGTGTCACCTTCTGTCATGACATCAGGCAATGTGAAATCGTTATCATTTAAGTCCTGGTGATTCCTCAGCATTTCCAGACGATACACTAATACTCAATTTTCTTCAAAGAAGTTATCTAATATTGTTTGTTTTGTCCTATTTTGTTCTCTTTTTTTTTTTTTTTTTTTAATTCTCTGAAAATGTCCAAACACATCGCCATCAAATTAATTGTTACGCTGATTAACTGTAGCGGTGGAGACTGGCGGTCCTTTTCAGGGCTCCGCCGCCGCCACCACATGAAGATGGTCCTTTTCAGGGCTCCGCCGCCGCCACCACCTGAAGATGGTCCTTTTCAGGGCTCCGCCGCCGCCACCACCTGAAGATGGTCCTTTTCAGGGCCCGCCCCAAAATATCCCCAATTCACATCCTAGTACCTAAGTTCTGAAGCCGAAGTTTACGGGTCGCTGAGTGAATTACACAAAGCAGTGAAGTTGATACTAGAAACAACATTTCAGATATAGATAATCTATTTCGGACATAATCTAGGACTGTCCGGGGAATTCCCTACAAAGTTTCAGAGCCCCCAGAGATGGGGTGAAATAAAAGAGTAGTGCCCTTACCTCAAAGTGTCTACTGCAGTAGCGCTGGGAAAAAATCGATGCATTTAAAGAAATAAAAATGAATAGGGCACTAGAGCAGAAAAAAACTGCATGTAAAATGCGCTGTCACCGCAAAGTCACTAACAACACTATTGGAGACAAGGTTACGAACACCAGCATTAGAGAGAAAGTTGGAATAAGACCATGTCCGGATTATATTGACAGACAAAAAATGAAATGGTTCGGCCATCTAATGAGAATGCAGCCAGACCAAACAGCATTTGATACTTTTGACAGTAGAACATCTAGGAGGAGGGAGAGAGGAAGACCAAGAAAGAGATGGATAAATGGTGCAGATGAAAGCTGAAAAAGTTAAACAAATCCATCACCCAAGATACAAGATATCCGAGAAGCTCAAGACAAAAAACAAAAAAAAACCAATACCTGGCAACAATGAGACGACATAAGAAAAGAAGAAGAACGAAATTAAAGGGTGTGCGGGGAAGAGTCAGGGAGTGGGTGGGGGTGTGGGGGGGCGGGGGGGGGGGGTTAGTTGCGTATCTTTTACATGAAGTTGCAGAGCTGAGATTTCTCTAGGCAAATTTTACGTTTGTGTGTGGGGGAAAAAAAAAGGGGGGGGGGGGAGAGACAGACACATAACATAATAATTTTTCTAGTTAAATTCGTCCAGCTCGTCTGTACTGTGTTTGTTCGTATTACCATTGAAGTCTTCGTCGTTTGTTTCTGCGACAATTGAAGTTGACTGGTTCTACGTTTTGTTTGAATTGATATCTTTGCATAATGCAGAGACAATATGAGTTTCAATATCTTCCAGGTATACCTGACCTACTTGTACGTAGGCTCTCTGGCTGTGCTGGTCTACTTCCAGTTCTGCATCTTGCGAGGAGTCAAGGTCAGCAACAGTTACTTCGACAACAGCATTCGCGTGGTTATTAGAAGGAGTCAGGTATATTGATGTCTTGTCCACTTGTGTTTGTCTGTGTATCTATTTCTTTTTGTCCATCCATTCATTTATGAAAAAGAAAATTTACAACCTTTAACCTACTGCGATCGGTATCTGTTTTAATTGTGGTCTGGTTTCGTTGTGTCAATTTTGTTGGCTAAGAAATGTTAACTGCGCCAAAATTAATGGATTGGATCCGTACTCTGGTACCTGGCGAGGGTTGTGGGGGAGGTGGCTGGTATAAACTATACACACCCACACACATATATAAACATATATGTACAACTGCATATATATAACATACACGTCTGCACGCCCACGTTGGAATTCACTATACGTGTTTGCATACATTCACACGTGTATGTATATACACACAAACACTTAAGGAAGCCTCCATGGTGTAGCGTCCACACTCTTGCCTGTGGATCGGAAAGGTTGTTCACAGCAGAAGGATGCGAACAACCATGACGACCAGTGTAAATGTTTATCGGGTCAGTTGTGTGTTCTTTGCAGGATATTGTAGGACCAACTCCAGATCTCTCTCTCTCTCTCTCTCTCTCTCTCTCTCTCTCTCTCTCTCTCTCTCTCTTTCTCTCTGTGTGTGTGTGTGCGCGTGTGTGCGGTTTTTTTTTTTTTTGCGGTTTTTCTAAGCAAATTTACGTTCGGTAGTTTACATTTGCGTCTGCACGATCGGCTTTCAATATCACTGTCGACATAAACGCAAGGGGGTCTGATAACAAATGAACTGCATCTAGATTTAAATCTGGCTCTCCGGTATTACGTGATATGGATGAAAATGTCTATTATTAGCTAATGTAACAGGTTGGTGGAGTACGTCGTTAGCCTGTTATAATAATTTTGGCTTGGCTAGACTTGCAAAAGCAGGGCAGCTGCAGTGACACTAGAAAAATGTAGTCCTGACTTTTCGTTTCGGAACCGTGAAGGGGTGACAGTGCAATGTAGGTACGGGGACTTAGTGGAGAGATATGAACTGGCTTACTGCTTTTGTGTTCCGGCACTTGTGGATCCAGGATTTTCCTACCCTGCCTCATCCCCTCTTCCTTTGTGTCGATCAAAACATAAAAGTATCGTTTTGTACAGCAGATTTGTATTACATTTCCACGTGATTGTCTGTTTCCCTCTGATATAGACTAACTTATTTATGAGATTCATTATTGCAGGATAATCTCCAGCTGTCGCCCTCCCCAATCAGGAAGCAGAATAACGAGCACAACATCAACATAGACAACAGTGACACGTTTGATTTCAGAAAGGAGCCCTTGGACCAGACATCCACGCTCTCCACCAGGTAATTCTCTCCCCTTGATTGTAACAGACAAGTCGTAGGACAGTACATTTGAATTGCAGAACTCTGATGTGCTTTGATAGCCACCATCATCATGTGTTGTGTAGAAATACACGTGTGTTGTGTGTGGTTGTGTGTGTGTGTGTGTGTGTGTGTGTGTAGGAAATAAGGGTGGTGGAGGGGAAATAAATAAAAAGAGACAATTGAAATACTTTTATCTACATAAAAAGATCTAACAACACTTTAAAAAAACCATACTAGAGGGAAAAGTCGAAGGTAACATAGCAAGAGGTGGGCAACGATATACAATTGGGTGGACAACATCAAGACATGGACTGGCAGTAGTCTGAGAGTGTACAACTAGGACAAGGAACAGAGAGTGTTGGAGATCCATTGCAGCCAACATTCATTGTGAAGACTGCACTGACTGATTGATGATCACTGGAGTCCTGGAGTTAAAGGAATTACAGAAAAATTTAAAGGAAGGTACAGTTATAGTAGAAAATATGTTTTCCTGTATTAGCCTACCATTGTGGGCTTTCCTCCAAAAGATAGAAAAGCCGTCCCAAAAAAGGAAGCAATTTTTAATTTCAAAGCCCCACTCTCGCTGTTATCGGAGGGCCTAATACAACCTAACTGATAAACTGAATTTCTGGGACTTTAGCCCTGATGATTCTCATTCGAATGAGTGAGGTTGAACTTCATTTATTCATTTCTTTAAAGACATCAAAACAGCACTCTTTCAAAGCAGTATTTTCACCACTTTGAATTTGTGAATTTAAATAATAAAGACAAAAACAATATATTGCATGATGTATTTTACTGTATCTCATCATGTATATGTGAGAGCATTTACATCAATATATAAGGATCACCAAAGATTAAGGTGTTGAAATTTGCTACAATGGACTGTGTGATCTGTTTTGCCAGTGTGTGTGAAAACAGCTACTAAATGGTATTAGAATCGACTTCGTCACTGGCACCGGTTTTGTCGGTGCATGTGAAAACGGTCCAAGTGAGTGACCAGAAGACATAAAAGAGAGAAAACGAGATCATTAGTAAAAATGTCAACATAGAACTTATACTAAATTACACATACAAGCACAGCAAATACAGTTGAGGGAAAGCCTTGTGATGCCCTACCATACAAGGCATAAACCAACAGAAGAGAGGGACTTAAAGAAAGAGGTACACCAAAAAAAAAAAAAAAACAATGTAGAAAGAAAAAGTGAAAAAAAAATCCAAAATATTGTCTGTGTTTAAAGCGGTCATAACAGTCAGTTTTAGAACCTTATATCTCAATCGACACTAAAGGCAATAACAGAAGAGGTTAAGAAGAAAGAGAAACAATTATACACTACATTTTTCCCCCAAAGCTTTTTGATAAAGAAGATACAAACAATAGATTGCACAATTTATTGCCTGGTATTTTTCGCTGTATCTTGTCAGGTGCATACTACAGTAACAATTGATTAAAATTAAGCAAATAAATGAATCCTTCGAACTGAAACACACAATCGACTAATTTCACAAACTGTCTGTTTCACCAGGGTAACCGCAAGGTGTCTGCATAAATCTGGATTAATCCGGTTCATAGCCAAAGTTTCCGCAAATTTCAATAATCTACGGTGTGTAAATAATTCGAAATGCATCATCCTTGTTTACAAATTGCTCAGAATTTATAATCTGGCACGCAACTGCTGATGGTGAATTGTTCGACTAGTCACTTGATTGTTGCTGTTTTGTTGTTGGTGTTTTGCATTGCTTTTATCACCCACAGTGGAATATGTTCAGCAACCCGTTTCTCCAGTCCTCGATCAGTTACGAGATTCAGGGAAATATGCCAGGGAATAAATTGTGCAGTCTACTGTTTGTGTCTTTTTTTTGTTCACAGCGGAGAAACATTGCTTTGATTTTCTGAAAATTATTTGACTTGACATCATTTCTCTGACCAGATCTCACCTGATTGCCCCAGCAGATGGAGAAGTTGCCCATGTTGGAGAAGGCATCAACTTTTACCTCAGGCTGGGAGCGCTGGGTAAGTTTAAAAGTCAAGCTATATACACTATACTTGGGACTATACTTGAGGGCAGGGTTATTCAACTAAATGTATTCAGGGGCCAACATTTTGAAAATGGGCATCGTCATGGGCCAGAGGCCACAGCCACAGCACAGAAAGATCATTCAAACAGTACAACTGGCTATGATTTGCGGGCTAGTTGCCAGGCCTCCACGGGCCAAATTGTGCCTCAAGCCGCCAGTTGAAAAGCTCTGCTTTAGGGGGTCTCTGTAACAAAATGGTCGAGTCCTTTGTTCTGAAAGTAGTGAGTTGATGTGTGTTATTTTAATTATTCAGCTCACGAGTGCAGTTTTTATAGTGGCCCCTGGGGATCTTAACCAGAGCTACTGAGTATGTGTTTTATGTGTCACTCTCAGCAAATTGTAAGATGTTCTGTGTAGAGAGACTAAGCTACTAGGGATAAAACCCAGTGCAATGAAGAAAGTCCTCTTAAACATTTTTTTAAAAACTTTGCATCTTTTATGTTGTGTTATGTTATCACAATCGATGTCTTTGCACACTGGGCATCCCCATGCGTCCTTAGTCCTCTGATTCAGGATCTACTCCAAGGTACCTCTATTTATTATTCCCATGAGGAGTTGGTTTTTGTATCTCCTGTCTTTCCCTTGTAGACAGTATAGACGAGCTTCAACAAGCTTAACTCCTCGGCCAAGCTGTCGTGTTAGGTTCATAGGTTCGCCATTATCCCATAACTTTTTCCGTACATCGGGGATGATATCAGCTCTGTCCATGCTTCTTCCCATTTGCATTAGTGCATTACTTGCCAGCTGGTCAACTCTGTCAATACCATTTACTCCTGCGTGCCCTAGTGTGACATGTGATAGCTTAGTGCAAGGCCATTCAGCTAATTCAACTTTATTCAGTGGCCAAAGTGTTGGACAATGGGGATCGTCAAGGGTCAGAGGTCCGACTTAGAAAGATCATTAATACAATCAATACAATAGGCAAGTAATTCATAGGCCACGTTTTAAGCCACTTGTTAGGCCTATTTACACTAAACTTGGCCTGCCAGCCACCAGCTCAGAATATCTGGCTTAGTGGCTTGAGGCTTGCATGCTGACCAGAAGGTTTTGGGACTGAACCCGCATCGAGATGAAATGTTGGCAGTTGACCTAAGCTCTCCTGCTGACCCAGGCTTAAATATGCATCAGGAAATATTGTCCAGATTAAAACTGGCAGTTAACATGCTGGCCGTGATTCTCATCAAATGCTGATTGGTCTATAAAAAATGAGTTTAACAGACATCCCCTTTCTGTCTTTTATGACCTGATAACTTTGTGTGTGCTCTTTAGAGAGGACAGCAGAAGTTGTAGAAATGTCCCCTTTCTAGCTTTTATGACCTGATAACTTTGTGTGTGCTCTTTATAGAGGACAGCAGAAGTTGTAGAAATGTCCCCTTTCTATCTTTTATGACCTGATAACTTTGTGTGTGTACTTTAGAGAGGACAGCAGAAGTTGTAGAAATGTCCCCTTTCTAGCTTTTATGACCTGATAACTTTGTGTGTGCTCTTTAGAGAGGACAGCAGAAGTTGTAGAAATGTCCCCTTTCTAGCTTTTATGACCTGATAACTTTGTGTGTGCTCTTTAGAGAGGACAGCAGAAGTTGTAGAAATGTCCCCTTTCTGTCTTTTATGACCTGATAACTTTGTGTGTGCTCTTTAGAGAGGACAGCAGAAGTTATAGAAAAACAACCCATAACATTATGTTTTGAAATATGTATTGAAAGCATTTTTGCACCCGTTTTGTATCTTATTTTTAGACTGAAACTTATGACCCATAAAAAGTGTTTTAACGATTAAATAATCTTATAGTAACACTATATGTATTTATAATTTTTATATACCTCTCCATCAGGATGGTAATCTGTAGGAAATGGATTACCATCCCATGGATGAGAATCACACCGGCCCAAATCCTAGAAACCTTCATTCATGTGTATACCACAGTTATATAGGAAAATCAAATGGCTGTGAAGTAATCTCTAGTCCAGTGTGGGTGGGTTTTCATATTATATGTGTGTGTGTATGTATGTGTGTGTGTGTGTGTGCGTGCGCGCGTGCATGTTGAATGTGTGTGTGCATGTATATATATAACTATTTATTCTTTCAATCTGTCAATCTTATTCAGCTTTCTCCATTGGAAGCGTGACCTTGGATGGATTCCACATTGCCTCTTACTTTGAGACAGAAAACACCACAACATGTGAAAGCTACATATTTCCAATAGTCTATGTCCTTCACCTTATCTTCACCTTCATACAGACATTTTTTCTCTTCAAGAACCACAAGGTGAGTATCAGGGTCATGTCTGCCTTGGCTGTGCAATGAGAGTTTAAACAAGGCCCTTTATTCATTTCCTTAATGGCTGCGTGGTCTTGAGGCATGGCGTCTGCCTCCAGTGCTGGAGGTCCCGGGTTCACGCCACGGGGAAGGCTGGGATTTTTTTACGTGGACTTCTAGTAATTTCCCCAGGTCTCTGGGTAGTAAGATCGAACGCCCGTGTGTATTGTTACGCACGTAAAAAAATCCCTTGGCAGTAGGAAAACGAAAACAGTAGCTTAATGGCACAGTCAGGGCAAAATTTGGAGTTAAAAATCTACCCAAAAGTATTTCAGGATCCTCACCGGTGCTATGGAGTTTGTGCACTGCACTGAGATTCTTCGGACTCAGGCTTGAGATATAAGTAGAACCGAGTACTTATGGGTTACTACCCTTATGCCATGATGTTGATCTGACATCTAAACCTAAAACCATTTATGGCCAGCATATGTGTATTCTATCCCTGAAGTACACATGGCTGTATGATAGGATAAGATGTTAGTAGGATTTGGTACTATTGGATTGTCCATCACAATACGATCTGTTACTAGGCTATGGTGCTAGTGGATCATCCAATATCATCTAATACTGGGATCTGGTACTATTGGATTGTCAATAATAATGTAATCTATTACTGGGATCTGGCATTATTGGATTGTCAGTAGCAATACAGTTTATTATTTGGGTCTGGTACTATTTTATTGTCCAGAACAATACCATCTGTTACAGGGATTTGATACTTCCCATGTGTGCTCAGTCATTCGATGCAGCAGCCACTGTAAGGTACCTCTGCTGATTGTTTCCAATAGCAGTTGGTTATATTGTCTCCTATCTCAGGCTCAAAGATGGCTTAGGAATGCGTCACCAAGCCTTACTCCCAGGTTATGCAACTGTCTTAATGTGAGAGATTTGTCATTGTCCATCAGCCTAGTTTGTACTGCATTGATAAATCAGCTCTGCCCATGCGTCTTCCTGTATATACGTATTGGTGCATTACTTGCCAGCCGGTTGGCTCGTTCATTACCTAACCGAGTAGGCTAATATTGGAGGATATTAAGCAATGCAACAATGCCAGCTGATTTATAGAAGAATTTATAAATGTTGAAGAACAACTTTGACAGGGCTCTTGAAATTATAACCACTTAAATTATTTGTGTGCCCCCTCTCCCTGTCTGCTTGTCCTGTCTGCTGTCCCTCAGATGCATGAAGATAGCTGCACCTCAATCATCAAAGCTTTGAGATTTTGAGTCTCAGCTCTGCAGACTGCTTCCTGTGGATCCCTAAAGGGCACAACCCATAATGAGAGGAAAGCTCAGTATGCAAATGTGAGATGAAGCAGTTGCAGGACGTGATGATTTCCTGTGTAAGCTCAATACCTGAGCACCATGTTTTGGCTCTGCATTCGTAGAAGCCCCCTTGGGTGGTGAGGAATGCCTAAATTCTGCCTCTGCCTTCCATGGAGGTTGACCAATCTGCATGTGGTTGCCCTGAATCGGTCTTCTTTGGACAACACCTGTGGATCAGAAAATGATGAAGTGACCACACATATGAGGGCAAAAAAGTTCCACAAAACTAACCGACAAGACTAACCAGATTTTTAGAAATTCAAGAAAAAGTAGGATGTGTTGGCAAAGTAGGATGTTGAAAAAGTAGGATGTGTTGAGCTCCCTACTGAGTGCTAGACTGCAAACTGTTCCTTATCACAACACTCAATAGCAAAAATTGAAATACTACTGCTGCTGCTACAACAACTGCTGCTGCTGTTGTTGCTACTACTGCTGTTGCTGCTACTGCTGCTGCTACTACTGCTGCTGTTGCTACTACTACTACTCCTACTAATACTACTACTACTACTACTGCTGCTGCTGCTGCTGCTGCTTCTTCTTCTTTTTCTTCTTTTCTTCTTCTTCTTTTTAGCATTCATTAGCTGTAGACTACAATGGAAGGTTCTGGTTGCTCATCTTCTTCTACACGAGGAAAATTGAATTTGATGAGGATTATGATGTGTCAATTTATTAAGAGACAGAATAAACGTATCCCAATGTCTTAAAATATTCCCAAAAAAGTACACTTAAAATATACTTAGTAATCTATACTCCTACAATCTATACTCCTACAATCTGTTACAATTAATATACAATCTGTGCAATATTAAACCATGAAAAAGTAATCTACAAACATAAAAAACAACACTGAAATAATGTCCTGACTTGATCCCAGAGGGGTTTAATATTATATCATTGTTTAAAACAGTGTTCCTAAATCAGTTTTCACCTTGGTCTACTAAAACAGCTTGTGTTGGCAGCTAGCAAAATGCAAAAACAAAAATAAATGTAGATAGTTTGTTTGTTAAATATTATGCTAAAAAATATACAATTTTCCGCAACATCTGCTGCTAATTGGTTAGAATATACCCCAAAATGGCCCAGTATAATCTGTATTATGAGGTTTAACAAAACCAGGATCTGTACATGTTTGATTCTCAATCTTGTGGTGGGTAATTGTACAGGCTGCAATCCTGGGTGAGAAAAACTACACACTCCACCAGTTGCATTATTTGGCAGAAATCTGTGACGGTCTACCTGGGCTTTTCCGTGGTCCACCAGTGGGCCTCAGTCCATGGGTTGGAGAACACTGGTTTTAAATTACTACTACATGATGTAAGGCGTACATTATTTAATTTTGCAATTGTTATTCCAGCTTGTAATTGCCAAGAATAAAGCTTCTGTCAGGTTTGGCCTCATGCACCTCCTGGCTACAAATCTGGCGGTCTGGTTTGTTACCGCCATCAGCGAGACAGCAGACGACTACAAGCAGCAAGATTATGTCGCCTCTCTCAAAGGTATCCTTTTGCTACTTTTTGCATGATTTCTTTTGTTTATAACTTTCTTCTTCATTTATTCTCCTCCTTAAAATGACAGTGGGCATTTTTTTTTTTTTTTTTGTAGTTTACAGCTAGACAGTGACACCTGCACTTTTGCCCAACATATAGTTATATACATTGCTACTACTAATACTACTTCAGCAAAATGGTAAGCATTGCTTCCTGGGTAGTTGACGTCCTTTGGATATTTTCTCCAGGTCATGCCAGTGTGTTAGGAAACAAGCAGGTAGATAGACTGGACGGTTCTGCACCACCTGGTGGTGAATTGATGTATGACAAGCTAGATGTTGTGAGGGCGCTTTGGGAGTGAGTAAGTAGTGAAGAAGGCACAAATAGATCTTTACAATTTGAGGAGAATGGCGCTACTGGGAGTTACCAGGGGATCCGGCCAAAGCTCAACCTCAAGAAAAAGGCGAGATGGCGACGGATGTACAATTAAACAGTTTCTGGTACCATCGGAATAGGAACTCTTCGCTTGCTGCTGAAGATGGGGACAGAGCGCTTATGGGAGACTCCCGAGTGTTGTGATGTTGATTCTTAATTCAATATTCAGGAAACCAGAGGAAAGGCAAGGCAGACCTATAACCAAACTGGTCCTAATACAACAGGTATGGGAAATCTCCATTGGCTGCTGAAGATGATGAGAATGGAACAGTTGATGGAATGCCCTGAGTGTGATGTCGTTGGAGAATGGAACAGTTGATGAATGCCCTGAGTGTGATGTCGTTGGAGAATGGAACAGTTGATGAATGCCCTCAGTGTGATGTCGTTGGAGAATGGAACAGTTGATGTGATGCCCTGAGTGTGATGTCATTGGAGAATGGAACAGTTGATGGGATGCCCTGAGTGTGATGTCGGTTGTTAACTCAACTGAACTGAATTGGTTGTGTGTCTGTAGATAACAGAACAGAAGTCAGAAACTCTAAAAGCTGTTATGAAGACATCACTCTGGCCAGAACTGCATCCCCATACCTGTTCCCATGCACGATCATCTACAGGTGAGTACCTTCCCCTTATTTTATCAGCTAAAACCACACCACCTCATTCTTCCTCTTCAGTTTCTGGCCAGCAAATCAAGGCAGCAAAAACATGACTTTCCACACACAGAGAAAATGAGCATTTCACCTTTACAAGTGTAAATCCAGCGGTGCTTGTATGCCATGTTCTTCAGCCGTGTAGGGCACACATTGAAATGTGTTTTCCTGTGTATATTTGACACTAAATGTAGAAGCCCACTTCTTCTTCTTAAAGTCCATGCCGTTGGCGTTGGTAGTCATGTCTACCCACAGCCTTCTGTCTCGTATATTTTCAGTCAACTCTGAAACAGATGATCCTCCATGCCATGAGGTTAAACTGTCCAGCATCTTTTCTCTCTGTATCCCTCAACCTCTCCTCCCCTCCAACTTTCCTTCTCTCATGATGTACTCCAGTTTACTTCTCATCACATGACCAAAGAATGTAGGTTGTCTTTTCTGATGTGGGCAATCAGTTCTCTTCGTGAGTCAATTTAGAAAAGTGATATAGTATCACTCAAAATATAGTCCAAATGGAAATTACAATTGTAAAAATCAAAAGTAAAACAATGAAATCAAAAGACAGTTAAAAAAAAATCAAAATCAAATGTCAGACAGTAAAAATTGAAAGTAAACAAACATCAGAAGTAAGATAAGAGCCAAAAGTAACAGATTCAATGTAAAGATTATTTGGTATATGGTGCTAATGCCATATGTAGTCTGTGTGTGCACGCATGTGTGTGTGTATATGTGTGTCTTAAGTGAGTGAGGAGTAAGTGAGTGAGCGTGTCTGTTTGGGTTTTGACTACACAGAAAGATGGCACTATCGGTCCATCCTTCACAAAACTACTGTACGGCTTGCATCTCGTCCGTATCAACACCTTTGCTGCATTCTAAAAAGTGGAAGACATTCACTTACTTAAACCAGACATTCAGCAACTGAAAACACAACTCAATCAACTCTACCTGTCCCACCAAACTTTCATGCAGATTTCACAAAATATGTTTTCCACGTTTTTTACCAGGAACCTTCATTGGCCATCTTAAACAATTCCTGGTAATATTTCCTGGTGTGACAGCTTTCTATCCGCAAGATTTCTTCCTTGCCATTTACTCAGCCTGCGTTACATAGCTCATCAGCACTCACCCTGACTTGTCCCTGTCCATTTATACACATTCATATATACTCAAAATGATCCTGCGAGTGACTCCTAACAGGTGAAACGTATCTCTTTGAGAAACAAGGAACCAGTAATTTGCATATAAATAAGCCAGATCTGTAAAACATATGCATACAAAACTCGAATTCAGGAGCAAGACCAAAGTTCAGAAGTCAACAAACAGCTATAATTTTCTGCTGGAGTTTACAGTCAGTGAATTCTAAGCAGCAGAAGAAGAAGAAGAAGAAGAAGAAGAAGAAGAAGAAGAAGAAGAAGAAGAAGAAGAAGAAGAAGAAGAAGAAGAAGAAGAAATCAACTTTGTAAATTTCCCTGCATTTATAGGATTTAAACCCATGAGGAATAAGTTGCCAGGCATTTATGCTGGCCACTGTGTTAGCACAGCTGTTGAATTGATGGTGGTTGTCCGTCTCTCTAGTGTAGTTGGCTAAACAGGGGTGAGCGGGTGACGAACTCCTTGTGGTCCGGGTTCACTCCCGGGGGTGGGCAGAAAAGCCGCATTTTCTCCCTGATTTACAGTATTTAAAATGAAATCAAGGCCGAAAGGTTGCGATATCCATAATACCGAGCCTAAGGGTTAACAACTCATGGCTTCTGGATACTAAAACAAACAAACAAGTGATGGTGGTCAGGCAGAAATATGTCTCAGCTCATGCTGACTTTATGTTGGGTCCACAGTATCATTGCTGCAGGCATACTGTACAGGATGTACCAGTATGTGGGAGTCAAGGTCACCCAGCGATGGCCGAGCCACACCTCCCTGACCTCCAGCGTGCCCCATGGGTCAGTTGGCATGGACTGTGAGAAAGCCAACAAGGGTCTGTTTACCGGTCTGCTAGTTGCTGTCATTACACTCATCGCTATAGCAACCTTCTTTGTGTTTGAGAGCCGACTCAACCATCCCCAGACTGCCATTAAGGTACACTATATTAATTTGATTTGTTGTTTATACTGACACCTTTGTCTGACTATTATAAATAAGTTGTTTCCACTGACACCTTTTTCTGACTTTTATAAATAATTTGTTTCCACTGACACCTTTTTTGACTTTTATAAATAAGTTGTTTCCACTGACACCTTTTTCTGACTTTTATAAATAAGTTGTTTCCACTGACACCTTTTTTGACTTTTATAAATAAGTTGTTTCCACTGAAACCTTTTTCTGACTTTTATAAATAAGTTGTTTCCGCTGACACCTTTTTCTGATTTTTATAAATTAGTTGTTTCCACTGACACCTTTTTCTGACTTTCATAAATAAGTATTGTATCCTAGGACATAGAGTGAGTGTCGAGCTAAGGACTGACATCACATAACTTAGGACATTCCCCCAATTGATCAATCCTCATCTTCAGTGGCCAGCAGAGAGTTCCAGTTCAATTGTGCCAGTAGCAATTTGATTATTGACTCTGCCCTTCTGTTTCTATGCTGTCTTCTCTCTCCATTTCCTCATCTTCTCCTCGTCTTCCTTGATGTTCGTTTTTTTTTTTTAATGTCAGTATTTCTTCTCCTCTTTGTCCATGGTATTCTGAGAATCTTTCTGTAGAATTTCAGCTCAAAAGCCCCTGTTTTCTTTCTTAAGGACTGGGAGATAGTCCACGACTCACATCAGTATGTTGCTAAAGGGAAGATGCATGCTTTCAACATTTCTGGGAGGATTTCCTTGCTGGTGCTTAACCACAGACTTGCAATACTGTACATTGAAGATAAAATGGGATAATATGACCGCTCGGTGTGACAATCTTCCTCTTGTCTTCATCCAGTTACCTCATGGAAGTGTTGTGAGGAGATGTCAGGATCTTCTGTGTGCTTACTCTAAAGCAGTGAATAACTGATCTTCATTTCTTTAAGGCTGTTTTTGATGCTGTCATTTTATATTTGTGTGGTCTTCCCCTCTGTGTTCAATGTAAATTTTTAGCATGCCGCTTTATTGCAGTTGGTGCTTAGGCATTCTTGTTAGATGGCCAAACCATTTTATCTGTTGCTCTTTAATGTACTGTGTGACTGGTTTTAGTCCTAGTTTTCTTGGATTGTCTTAATTTTTATTTTATGTCTTATTGTTAACTTTGGCAACTCTTCAAAGATGGCTTATCTGTACTGAGCTCATTTGTTAACTGTTATGTGATAATAAAGAAGAAAAACAGTCATTATCTTTGAGAATGTGAGGAGTGAGTGACATTCAGCCCCACCAGGACCGCACAGCGAGCGATAAAACACCTTGTGACACAAAGTGCCACCATAAAGAGGAGAATTACTCAGGCATAAGTCCTAGAAACCCAGTTCAACCCTTAGGTTATATTAGGGCCCCCGACTACAACCGGGATTGGGCTTTAAAATAACAACAACAACAAATTGCACTGCATATTGGGAGAGGTGGAAAATGTGTTGTGACTTGTTTGCAACCAAAAGAGTTAATCTGCAACAAAAGAGTGAATCTGTTATCCATTAAAATAACATGAATAAGTGAGAAAACTTCTTGTGTAGGCATTACTAGGAAAACAGCAGACATAAAGTATAATGGTCGTTTATAATTTTAAAAATTTGTTTCCCAGGTTTTCTATGTGATGGAAATCTCTCTGGTGATCATCACTGGCAGTTGCATCTTGTTTGGTATGCTCAGCTTCGTGCGACTGAGATTCCTGGAGAATTATCTGTCCCTGGACTCAGTTCTGCTGATCATCTCCCTTGGCGGTGCCTACATTTACCTCAGCTTCATGCTGATTTCGTCTGCCTCGATGGTGAAAAAACACGGAGACATCAGCATCTTATCTCTGGCTGCAATATGTGTGGGAATACTGGAATCTACTTTGCAGGTAATCTCATGCTTTTGATTTTTAGTACTGACTGATTCTTCTTCTTCTTTTAAGCATTGACTGGCTGTAAATTCTGGCAGAAAGTTCTGGTTGCTCATCTGCTTCTAGACTTTGGTCTGGATTGATAGATTTTAAGGCCCGGCTCTCTAGCGTAGTTGGTTAAACCTGACTTTCGCGGCGGCCGGATGACGAACTCCTTGTGGTCAGGGTTCACTCCCGGGGTTAGGCAGAAAAGCAACATTTCTCCCAGATTTAAGGTATCTATAATGGAATCAAGGCCGAAGGGTTGCGATATCCAAAGTACCGAGCCAAAGGGTTTACAACTCATGGTTTCTGGATATAAAACCCAAAAAAATAGATTTTAAGAAGTTTCTGTGACAGGGTTGCCTTATAGAGGGGCTTGTGATGAGTTGAGGTGGCGACTGACAGTGGTGACTTCAACTGATAAGCAATTGTTAACATATGGAATGGGGACACCAGTTTTCTTAGTTTTGTTCTTTTGATCCTTGTCTGAGAAGGTCAGATGTCTGATCCACTACCGCTGGATCTGGGAAAGGTTGTCTACACTTCTCATATTTTGTGAAAATCCTAACAATCCGCACCAGGAATTAAACCACGTCTGCATGAATAAGAGACTTACAATAAAGTATTCTGTTTACAAAAACAAATAGTGTCTTTGGGAGAGTTACAGTAGAGCTGTTGCTAGACCCTCGCCTACTATATCAAGATTCCTAACCAGGATTGAGGCTACGTTTTATCATTGACCTGCACTTCCAGGTCTATCAGGAAAAGTGCTGGAAGGTAAATATGGTCAATAAGATGTTGACCACATCGCAGAGTGTCAACTGGTCTATACAAAATATACATCGAGAACCACATGCCTGTTACATCAATAGAGTGAAAATGGTTCTTAACTTTTTTTATTTTGTTTTTATTAAACTAATACTTATTCTTCTCCGTCTTCTTTTCTTTACTGCTGGAATGTCTTACAGTCTCAAGGCAGGAAGAGATTTCTGGAACGGGATCTTCTGTTCGCTTCATATATAGTGCTTTTCATTATCAGCGATATTACTGCTGTCCATCTTCTGCGTGGTCAACCTCTGACTAGGTTACCGTTGTATTTGTACAATACATTGCTCTCTTTGGTGCCCTGTCTGATGCCAATCTTTTTACATGGCCAAACCATTTTATCTGTTGTCCTCCCATAAAGTTCAGTATTGGTTCTGTGCTGACTCTTGTCCTGTTATCATCATTCCTTAATCATTCTTTCCTTGTTACGCCAAGCATTATGTGTAAACATTTAATTTCTATCATGACGATTGTTTTTTTTGGTCTTATGAAGACAATGTCCATGTTTGACACTGATAGCATAGTGTTGGTAAGAATATTGTGTTTAATCTGTGCTCTTTTATTGTTCATATTCACATGCTTGCATTTCAGTATTAGTGCTCTTTGTCCTATAATTTGATTGAGTTTACCACATCTTTGTTGTACTTCTTTTTTCATTCTTCTGCTATCGGAAAAAATGCTCCATAGGTAAGCAAAGTTCTTCACCTGCTCTGTTAGTGTTGATGTTGGTGGTTCTTCCTTTTCTGAAGAATCTCATAGTTTACTAATTCAACCACTCATAATATTACACAATGTTAATCTGTTTACAGTGTCAATACTTTCTATAAGTATATAAATTGGATAGGGCACATGCTGAGAAAACCTGAGAACAATATAACTAGAAGGTCTTTGCACTGGAATCCACAGGGGCATAGAAATAAAGGAAGACGAAACAACACATGAAGAAGGGAGCTAGAGAGTGAAGTTGAAAAGATAAGGAGGACATGGGGTGAGCTGCATGCGATAGCGAAGGATATAACGACTTGGCTTGAATTGGCTGAGGGCTTGTGCTCCATTGGGGGTTAGAAAGGCAGAATAAGAAGATATATCTCTTAACTTCTTATAATACTACAAAGTATAATTACTCTGTTTACAGTTTTAACAAAAAAAATGCTTTCTGTATATACACCACAGGCTGTTTACATCCTGGATGGTCTCTGTCGCCGGGCTGACAGTGATTCTCAAGTGGAGGCCAAACCTGGCAGATCAGTGGTCACATTTCTGCTGGTGTGCAACCTGGCCCTCTGGGTGGTCAGCATGTTTGAGATCAAGAAAACCATGGTAGTTCCCTTTCACCGGGAGTTCTATGGGATCCTGCCATGGAACATTATGCTGCATCTGTGTGTGCCTCTGTTTATCTATTATCGCTTCCACTCAGCTATTTGTTTATCTAAGATTTGGTATAATGCATATCAGAAGGAACGCAGCCCATCTTATAACTAACTGACTGAAGGCAGGCCCGTTTTCATACTTGGGCATGCTTAACAGTTGGCCTGGGGTCCTATGCTTATCTGTTTTATTGATAGTTTACATTTTGAATTCCTCCGAGTGGTTGTGTAGGTGGGGCTAGCTGCACTGTTAGCCAGTGACCCATAAGGCTATTAAGACAGCATTAACTAAAGGTGCGAATGTTGTTAATTCTTGGCATACATTTAGAAATACCCTGAGTTGCTTTATTTCTTTTTATATTGCTTTGGACTCAGACATCATAGATCTTGTGTGATTTGAAAAAAAATGTGTCAAGAAACACTAGTTTGTACCACTTTTTTTTAGATCCTAATAGGGCACAATGTATAGGGCACACAGTATAGTTATGTTCCTTAGGTGTTGTGCATGTATTCACAATTTTGAGGTACTCAGTTTGAATCCAGCAGCAGGTGATTTGGCAGCAGACCACCTTGCATTGATTTCGACAATAGTTTTGAGAGCTGACCATTTAGAATTTGTAGCAAACTACTACACCTAAAATTGCCTAGTAAAACCGAACAGCCAACAGATGCTGGGTTTGGATTTGGAACATTCTTTAAACGACTGCCAACTTCTTCTTTGCGTTCGGTTTCGTATGCTCAGATCAGACCATAAGGTGGGTTGCCTCTATGAACTTGCATGTCAGTAGCAGGTCCTTTATGGTTCCCCATAGCTTGCTCTGCACACTGTGCTCTTAAGGTCAGGTGACTTTTTGAAAACTGCCAACTAACTTTGTATAGAGTGCTGGGATTC